CAACAAGAAACAGTTGCCCCATTCCACACCTGAAGTGGTCTTCCACTGTTTCATCTTGGTCCATTATGTCCATCCATCATTCCGCTATCAAAACTTTCCACCTTCCTCATCACTCAAGACCATATAAAGCCCATCCTTAAATTCCTGCTTTGGCTTCCTGTTTGTAACGAGATTTTGCACATGTGTCTTGTTCTTATCTTTAGAGTCCTCATCACTCTGCGCTTGTATCCCAGCAAACCTTCACTTATCCAGCTTCACCAACCTTAGCTGTCCAAATGCTCCCTGAAACGCCTCCACCTTTTCTCCCTTGCTGCCTAGGATCCACTCCTAGAATACACCTAGGAGGCCAACTACCTTCACTTCCTCCAGATCCCTCCTCAAAACTCTTCTTTTTCTGCAAAGCCTTTGGAATAAACCCCTACGCACAATACCCTACTACTGCATCTAAGACTGCCGTCCTGTGCACACCCGGCCGGCAATAAGGCTTAGTGGGACGGACTTTCAAGGAGACATGCCTAGAATTGCATTGTCAGTCACACGTACCTAAAATAAGTACATGCACCTGAAATAATTGCACATCCTTCTCCTGTTTACCCTACCTAAATGTCCTTCCTCTGACTCTGCTGTTCTGCTTGGGTCTCTTTTGAGGTTGTAAGCCCCTTGGAGTAGGGCCTACCAAGCCTACAGAGTACAAGGGTAGTGTTATAACCCAGGCTTGCCATCAAACATACACCTTCACCTCTCAAGCAGACATACCTGTACGAGACAAAGTGTTTCCAAACACATGCTTGTATCATTTACACACATTTCTCCTTAAAGTGTAAGCCTATAACTGTAATTGTTGAAGCAGCCCAAATATCCACTATCTGCCCCATGTTGGACCGGGGTGGGCAACCTTTTCTCCTTTTAAGGGTCACCATCTTTCCAGGGGGGGGTGCGGGTGGTGCTGGGGTCTAAACCACTGTGCCTCTTGGGCTTGCCGATCAGAAGGTTGGCGGTTTGAATCCTTGAGACGGGGTGAGCTCCCGTTGCTTGGTCCCAGCTCCTGCCAACCTATGTAGCAGTTCGAAAGCATGCCAGTGCGAGTAGATAAATTGGCACCACTGTGGTGGGAAGGTAAACGGCATTTCTGTTTGCTGCTCTGATTTCGGTGTTCCATTGCGCCAGAAGCGGCTTAGTCATGCTGGCCACATGACCCGGAAAAACTGTCTGTGGGCAAACGCCGGCTCCCTCGGCCTGTAAAGTGAGATGGGTGCCGCAACCCCAGAGTTAATGGACATGTAAAGTGAGATGGGTGCCACAACCCCAAAGTTAATGGACATTGCCATTCAATTGGTGTGCATGCATCGCTTCCTATGATTGATTATGTGGGTTGGGCCTTACCTGCCACTCCAATATTTTATTCAAGATGGCACCCCTACTGCCCAGTATGACCCAATTTAAATATATACTTAAGTGAAGGCAGAACTTGTCCATCAGCAGTTATCATTAGGAGAGAAGACAAACAAGTAGACAAGTCACCTGGTCACAGTCTTCTCCACTCTGGTGAGATGTATTTAAATTATAGCAATTATTTCTAAAATGGACTCTATGCATATATATCAGCCCATGAAAATTATATGCAAATCTCTGCCCTTTATAACTATTTTTATGTTATGTCTTACTCTTTTTCTTGATGTTGTTGATGATGGCTGCCCTACTTTGAAATTAGGCAGACCATCATGTGTGCAATCTTTTTGTCACAGGAATCCCACCCCAATCCAGACTCATCTCAGTGTGAATCCTGTGTAGCAATACTCCTATTTATCTGAACCACTGACTCTCCAACCATCAAATGGCCCCTAAGGGTACCTCTCAATTATATGAGTTTATGTGCCTCAGATAGATAATGTGACATATAATCATTTATGGGACCCTAAAATTGGCATTTATTCCAGAAAGATTAACAGCCTCTTTCTCAGCTGACTATGAAATCTGCACAAGATGTAAAATAGATGAGATCATGCATTTTAGCAGGCCAGCTATGGTTTGTGGGACACATCATTGTGGAGCCAGAAGCTGATACATCTGTTCATTCAACACTTCAGGAGCAGATTCTCAGTCATGTAGGGGCTCTGGTTGCTTATTAATGCAAACGTTTGCTTCACTTTAGAGACAAAAAAGTTGTCATTTTGAGAGGGTGTGTGTGTGTGTGTGTGTGTGTGTGTGTGTGTGTGTAAAGGACCTCTGGATGGTTAAGTCTAGTTGAATTTGACTTTGGGGTGCAGCGCTCATCTCCGCTTTCAGGCCAAGGGAGCTGGCCTTTGTCCTCAGACAGCTTTCCGGGTCATGTGGCCAGCATGACTAAACCGCTTCTGGCGCGACTGGACTTAACTGTGTGTGTACACCATTTTTAACCTTCTAAACATTTTTAAGATACATGGCCGGGGGACAGACTAGCAGGAAGCAATTCATTTTAGTTCTTGGGGTGGTAGAACATCATATAACTCAAAGACCTTAAACTCTTTAAGCACCATGTATGCTATTCAATAAGCAAACATGCATGTTTGAAGCGATTAAATAGTTGGGATGAGAGAAAATATTCTAAACATTACATCTAGTTGTCTGATCTTGTTCCACATATAGGCAAAATAACTGTTTTAGGGTTGCAGTCTTAGACTCACTTACTTGACAGCAACCCCCACTGATTATAGTGAGACTTAGTTTTGAACAACATGCATAAGTTCATACTGTGCCTAAGCAGTTGGGTCCAGTATAATTTTTTATTCCTCCCCATCCCTTTGAATTGTAGTCTCCTATGCCATCAGGACTGGCCCTACCATTGGATAGTGTGGGGCAGCTTCCTCAGGTATCCAATCATGAGAGCCAGGGAGTGGCAGCAAGGTGCTGGGGGGCAGAGATGTGTTTGCTCCCTGGCCTGGCCTGCACTCCCTAAGCTAGTCTGTTGCTCTCTATGGAAGCATAATGCCCCATCGCCAGTGTTGGAAATAAGATCCAGCTACCAGTGTCCTTGGATTCAGGCAGCAAAATTTCTCAGACTAGTCCTGCATGCCATATCACAAACCACTTTCATAATCTCCCTCATTTTCAAAAGGACTTTGCCATGTGACATGGAGAGCTGCTGTTCAAGAACCACAAATCCAAAAGCTCTCTTTATGTCTAACTTGGGCCACGGTTCTTTGGAGCTGAGCTAGAAAAAATTGGCTGCCTTTAAAGTTTTCTATTGTAACTCAAAAGTTTCCAGAACCTTATGCCAACCAAAGTGGATCAAGTAAAAGCTATCATCTCACAAAAACACATGGAAAACATCTATGTGATTTGTGATTAGACAATACTGTATCTGTGCATGCACGCTGGAGAGAAATGTATAAAAGAGACAAGAAAACCATCCTTGTGTCGCTGGTTGAGTGTGATGTTTTCATAAGGTTAACTTCATCTATGCTCCATGTTCTTCAACAGACCTCAGAGCAGCCCAACTCTACTGAAAAGATGTCTAAAATAAGCAGGAACTGATAGTGCCAAGTTGCTTCCCATTATGACTGCAATGGGTAACAGCATATCTGGAAATTACCGGCATAGATGCCAGCGTAGGTGTATCACATGTCTAAACTAAGCACTTAAAGAAAGAAGCACAATGTTTTCACAGAACAAGCCTCAGCAAAGTCTTTGCTCAGTGCTGGTTGCATAGTAGCCTCCGAAATAACTCCATCGCCTCATCCTACATTTTGACACATGCCCGTTTCCAGCAAGAAGAAAAAGCTGCAGCCAGCCCTCAACACTTTGTCATGGAAGCAAAGGGGAGGTGGAGTGTTGCTTGATCCTGTGGGACTTTTTGCACCTCCTGGGTCACAAATCCAACCCACAAATCTGGCCATGGGTTGACTCAAAGTTCAGCCACCCAACCTGCTAAATCAGAAAAACGAACAAGTATAATTAACGCGGCGGCGAGGGCAGCAATTAAGCAAAGCCAGGATGAGCGGCTGCTACAAAATCTGGAGGTCCCCATGTATTGGACTAGAGCTAAAAAAATTGAGGGGGCATAAATGCGAGCTAAAGAAGGGGGCGTTCCACTTTCTGGTGCTACCGCCTGCAAAGGATGGGGCTTTCGATGTGAACGTTGTTGCCAAGATCATCAGATGCAGGTGCAAGATTTCTTTTAAAAACCAAAAAAAACCTCCCATAGCCTCACTGCCGGAGTGTGCGGGTGTGTTTTTAATCAGAAGCAGCAGCTGCATTTGCTCTCCTTTGACAGAATGCCAAGCGAATGCTGCCCCCAAAGTGGCAGGATCCAGGCAACCAACTCTCAACTTCTCTCCTACCACCATGTACACAATCTGCAGATGAGGTTGGGCGGGGGGTGGGGAGGGATGGGGGCCCAGCTGCTAAATCCCTGTTTTCTCTGCTTAATGTGGCGGAATCGGAGAGGGGCAGGGGAGAGGAGGAAGCCGAAACTGGCAGGGAGGAAGGTTCCCCGGCAGTGCCTTGCCACTGCTGGATCGCCAAGGATGTGAACTCGCAGGAGGAGACCAAACTTCCTCCCTACTCATGTTAAGCATGTAGCGGAATTTTGATTGACAAGCTGCCGCCGAAATCCAAAACAGGACCCAGGAAACTGGTCTGAGCAGCTGTGCTAGAACCAGTGGGTGGCTGTGGCGTTTCTAAGCATCGAAGGAGCAGCTTTGGGTGCCACAATCTGGAATGTGGTTCTCTCTTTTTTTGTAGGAGGGGGGATGTAAAGAATCAGAAGGCTCTCCCTCCCTTTTCTCTCCCCCCCCCACCTTCCCCATCCAAGTGATCAGATATAGAAGAGCTGGAGGAGGGAAATGGGTTCAACGCGGTTTGAGGAAGGCATACAACAAGAGAAAATCAACCATCATCATTACTTTGTTTTTGTTTTGGTTTGGAAAGGCACAGAAGCATACCTAGGCGAATTTCCCCCACAGACAAGACACACAGGCAGACTCAGCACAGACAGCAGGGACCGTACACAGTAACCATACCCCCAAATCCAGGACGCAGCCTGTTGTCATAACCATCCAGGAGACGGTCCAGGATGCGCGTGAAATTCTCCGGCCATAATTTCTCCTCCTTTTTGAGCTGTCCCGGGAGCACGGTGAGGCTACAAGGGAGTGGGGGGGTGGAAGCACAAAAGCATTTTAGTGGGAAAGAGGCAAGAAGAAAGGAGAGGCGGGGAGAGAGAGGTGGCAGCTTTGATTTAGCCCTCGCCAACTCACCTTCTTCTTCTCTCTCTCCCCTTCCCAAATCCGGGGCATCAAGTAAGGGGTGCCAGGGAATTGGACGGGGCGGGGGGATGCTGCCCTGCTACTCACCAGGTCGTCAGGCACAGGAAGTGTAGGAAGGTGACAGACAGACCCCAAGGCATCGCGATCGCTGGCTCCTTGGCAGAAACCATCTTTGCTTGCCATACTTTAAGCCTGGTAGCACGTTCCCCCGTCACTAAACGCCTTGTCCAGAGATCACACAGCCGCGAAAAGGAGGAGAGGCGGGGTGGGGGGTGGAGAGAGAGAGAGAGAGAGAGAGAGACGGAGAAGAAGAGGAGCGGGGTGGAGTGGAGAGGAGGAGAGGGAGGGAAGCGAACCCACCACCACCGCCACCGGCGCACCCGCTCTTCCCAGCCACACGCTCGATGCGCCTGCTGCTTGCCTTGGAGAGCCAGCGAGGGAGCCTGGCAGACGCCAATCGACCAAAGCAGAGGAGGAGGTGAGGGGGCGAGCCTGGGCTGGGCTGGGGCCCCGATCCCCTGAGCCAAACCCCCGCCGCCCCGATCCTACATCGCGTCGGTTTCTCCCGTTGCCAAACGCGTGGCGCGCTCAGACGCAGGACGCGCGCGCAAGTTGCCTCCGCTCCCAAGTCCCTTTCCCTCCACTCCAGGGGGCAACAGGCTTCCAAACCCCACCTCTCCTTCTTCTTTCTCCTGGCTGACTCCGCCCCGCTACTCCGCCCCAGGAGGATTTTTTATTTTTTATTTTATTCTGCAACATGGTTTCAGGGCCCCTCTTGTGGGTGTATGTTGTCCTTTTCTCTCTCTAGCGAGAGTTGGGGCGGCGGCGAGTCCTCCGTCAAGAGGCCCGCGCCAGAACCTCGGGGCTCGTATTCTCTGGAAATCTTAAGCGATGGCAATGATATATTGTTGATCCCGCACCTCTGAGCGTGTGCAGAGCGCCTTTTCTTCCAAGTGCTACGCCCTCCCACTTGGGAACATAAGGAGATGGTTTATAGCGAGGAGACTATTCGTTCTTCTGCCTCAGTATTGTCAACTGGAGACAATGAGTCTCTCTCAACCCTGACTGGAAATGTCTGGGGTTGAACCCGGAACCTTTCGCATTGTGCTCTGCCTCGGAGCTACGCCACCATCAAATCCGAAGGACTCCCTTTGCAAACCGGTTTAATTAAAGCTCCTCTTCTTTGCAACGGAAGACTTTGCAGAGATCCCATTTAGGCTTAAACATGAGTCTCCTTATTAAGCCTGTTCCCGTGGCCAAGTCATATGTCCTGAAACATAAGAAACACTCAGAAAAGAGTGGCTTTCAGCATATGCTTAGCATCTTCCCTTCACAAGCCATGGATACGAAATGACCAACTTTTATACACCTGGGATCAGTAGGAAAGACTTCCAACCCATACGCTTTGGACAGGCTTCAGACTCCTTAGAAAACGCAACCTGATCAGCAACAGCCACTACTAATCTTCCCTTCCTTAATATGGATTAAAAACTGCTAGTAGTATCCCTCAAGAGCATTTTTTTCCCCTATGGGAGAGAAGAGAGCACACACATAGCAATTGGGAAGAAAAGTCAATTGCAAATTCCAGCAAGGACCCTCATTTTCAAACACACACACACACACACACACACACAAACACACCCCTATCAACTGCCTGTGCAGACGCCTCTTTTTGCCTTCCCTTTCCTCCATCACAATGGCCCTCAGGGACCTTCACCCCCCTCTTCCTGTCATTATCCAGCCTCATTGCCTACGGGCAAGGCTACCACTTTCACTTCTGCTTCGAAACCCCACATCCCAGAATGACGCAGACTTGCTGTCACAGTTTCTCTCTAGCTATTCTGCTGTGCATGCCTCTGTCTCTCTCCCATTCCTTCCCAGATGTCCTGGCCGTGATCATGGTGATGAAGTCTTCATTTGTCTTGATTGTCTTTTGGAGGGAGGGGGAGAGGGAGGCACAAAAAAAGACAATGAAACCAGGGGAGAATAAAGAGCTGGGTTGAACACATGTGCGCTCCTTTGATAGGAGAGGCTGGGTGACAAGGCGATTTCTTCCTACAGAGATCCTGGCATAAAATTAAAGAGGAGGGGGCTAGAGAAAGAGGAGCCCTCCCAGTGCACTGCGATGCTAAAAACAGTGCTCTCCCTACCAAATGCATATAATCCGGCTAATTATCCCTGGCCACTCAACAGAGAGGTGTCAGCTTCAGAGAGGGTGGTAGACAGATAAGTGCCTTTAGAATGGCATGATCAAGTCCAGGTTTTGGTGACCCAAATAATTTCCATCACACCAGCACCAAGGGATTAGGTGACACTTCTCCAGATCCATTTTAGAAAGATTTCAGAGCTTGCTGGATTTCTTCTGGGAAATGTGCTTCATGCAAACAGTTTGAGCCAGCCAGACCCACAGCAGGGATTCTTGGATCCAAAGGCCATCCTGTATTTAAATGTTATTTAAATACAGGTGTGGAGGTAGAACTTGAATGGTACAATCCTGTGCGCGTCTACTCAGAAGTAAGCTCCACCGAGCCGACTAAGGCTAACCTTCCAGGTAGGTCTGTAGAGAACTACGGCTTAAATGATTCATTTATCCCTGCATCACCAACCAGCACACATGAGCGTCTCATTACTTTTTTCTTTTCTTTTTTGCCTTTGAAACGGAATCTGATTATCTTCAATACTGTTGTACCCTTGAATCCTTCCAGATTGCACTTCAGATCTTGTTCCTCTAATGGTGCCCTCCTGAGTCCTTTGGAGAAAGAACACACAGAGAGACTCTGTGATGCTGTACTTAAAATTTACTTCACTTTATTGTTCATTCAGAGGGCTTCTATCTAGATAAGCAACTCTTTAAAACAAAGGCCTGCCTGAGTTTGAGAAGACTGCAGGTTTATTTGCTCTGGCTGCATTTCTTTCTTCTTCTTCTTCTTCTTCTTCTTCTTCTTCTTCTTCTTCGGAAATTCAGCTAGGTCCCATTTAGATTTGGTGTCTTTGCATACAGTATTCTGCATGAATTCTGTTACTGCTATATGGAAGTGTATCGGTATTATTCAAAACAGGAAAATGAGATTTACAGTTTTATAGTCCTGGATGCACATTAGTTTGGGGACCAGCAACTGGAGGACCTATGGCCAATTCTGGCCTCCCTGTTCCTGCTCCAATGAAGAGGGGTGTGGAGAGAGCAGTGACTGGCAACAGGAGTGATTAGCAGTTCACTCTGGGGCCACTCCCGCACATCAAAATGTTATGGTAGATCTTGGAAAAGTTGAGAAAATGGGCAACTAAAATAACCAAAGGGCTGGAAAAACTTCCCTGTGTGGAAAAGTCTGAAGCTGCAATATTTGGGGCTTATTAGTTTAGGGAAGGGAACGAATAACAGTGTATAAATTTACACATGGATGGTATGGAGAAGTTAATAAGGAGAGTTTTTTTGCTTCTCTCATAATACCAGAACCTGGAACCATCCAGTGAAACTGAATGTTGTAAGTTTTAAGACAGGCAAAGGAAGCAACCTTTTATTGAGCAGTCATCCTGCTATGCTTGCATCAAGGGTAACAGCCATGGCTGTTAAATCAATCACTCATTCTGATTTGTCTGCAGGGAGGTTAGACAATGTTGCCTCGAGCAAATGTTATCATCTCATGCTCCCCAGTGAATTTTGCCATCACTTTCCTTATTGGGGGGGGAAAATGGCGGGTAGGTTTTCTTACGCAAGAGTTCCAAATCAACTTTCTTGTGCAACCTGCCAGTATGTGATTGAATAGGGAAAGAGTGGCAGTCTGGAAATGCTGTGAGTTATTTGGTCATTTGGTTGGATGAGCTGGGAGAGAGACCTCAACAAACCGCAGTCCTTCTCTCATCACAAAAGCAAAGTGAGTGCTCTTCTCTGCTGCAGTCCAGATGACTTGGTTCTGTTCTCTCGCCTACAACTTACCCTGATGCTCTCGCTTTCTCTCTCTCGCTCTCGCTCTCGCTCTCTCATGCACACACACACACATACACCATTCAGGAATTAGAGAAAGCAGTGGCCTGCATTCTTGTGTATCAGTTTCAGATATTGACACCTGCATACTGCACCTACAGCTAACAGGAAGGCTCCACCTGTTCAAAGAATGTCTAATTTTGACTTCTTCTTCTTGTACCATCCTTTCTGTACCCAAAACAATGAACCGGTGTGACTGTTTTCCAGTGATAGATATCATAGCCAAAGATTCCCCATAAATACAAAAAATAAAAATAAAACATGTGCCAAGATCCACTGGAAATAAACTCAAATACCACCAAATGGCATATAAAATTGTTATACTGGATTCTGTCATATAGAGAAAAATGTGACAGTAAATACATCAAACACATGTGCACTTCACAAGGTGCAATAAAATAAAAACCATTATTTTAGTTAATTAATTAACCACATTTAAAAAACCAGGGCAGCATACAATGGAAGAATGCAATATGCCACATGAAATTCAGAATAAAATAAAATCACATTGATCAAAGTTGCATGTTGCTGGGGTCACATTTCAGAGAAAGGCCATGGAAACAGAAAACTCTGAAAGAAGTTTAACACATGTGGTGCTTATCTAAGGTCAGAAGGAAGGGATTTCCATAAGGCAAGTGCTGCAACAGTGAATGTCCTGCTCCTAATGCCTTTGAAATGCACAAAGTCACCCATAGACTGTATGAGGGGAGGAAGCAGTCAGCTCTCCTTAAAGTGGTGCTAGATTAATTCTGCACTAAATATTGTATGGAGGTGTCCTGACTGATGATGTTAGAAGAACTTGCTACTGGCCTTGTGGTTGCTATGCCTGAAAAAGACTGTGAGAAGATATGAAAGCCATCTGCAAATATCTGAAGGGCTGTCACAGGGCTGCTCTGGAAGCTAGAAGGCAAACCAATAGCTTCAAATTACAAGAAGGGGGAGTCTGACTAAACATCAGGAGGAACTTTCTGACAGTAAGAGCTGTTCAGCATTGGAATGGACTCCCACGAGAGGTGGTGGACTCTACTTCATTTGAGGTTTTTAAGCAGAGGTTGGATGGTCATCTGTTATGGATGCTTTAGTTGAAATTCCTGCATTACAGTGGGTTGGACTAGATGAACCTTGGGGGTACTTTCCACCTCTGAATCTATGATTCTAAGTGCTCACAGACTGTTGAATGATCTGTTCTAGGACCTTCCCTGGTGTCATTGTCAAGCACACCAGTTGGTAGTTACCTGGGTCTTCTTCCCCCCCTTTTTGAAGATAGGGACAACATTTGCCCAGTCTGCAGGGACCTCCCCTGTTCCCCAAGAATCATCAAAGATTATAGACAGTGGCGCTGAGATTACAGCCGCATGCTCCAGGCCATGGAGATTTAAATTCATTTAAAATAGCTAGGTGTTCCCTTACCACCTCTTTTCCTATCTTGGGCTGCAGTTCCTTCCTTACACTGTTTATTCTCTTATCACCAGGTTGGGCATCACTTTCCTTTTGGGTGAAGACCAAGGCAAAGTAGGTGATGAGCAGTTCCACTTTCTGTCACCCAATAGCAATTTTCCATCTTCTCCACGCAGAGGACCTTTCGCTTGCTTCTTCTTCCTCTTGCTTTGACCATAGCCGAAGAAACCTTTTTAAATTATTTTTAATCTCTCTTGCAAGCCTGAGCCCTTTCTGAGCTTTAGCCTACCTGACATTCACCCTGCAACTGTTGGCTACTCGTATATACTCCTCCTTTGTGATTTCCCCTTTCTTCCATTTCAGGTTACATACATCAGTTTGCTTTCAGGCTCATGCTTTCTCCAAAGGCCGTGTGCTCTCTGTTTGCTCCACCTTTCAGTCTCCAAGTCACTATAATTCTAAGTCAATCATAGGGTTCATATTTTCTGTTCTTCAGCTACACCCGTGTATTTTAATGTACTGAAAACATATTTGGCAAAACTATTTTGCTGATGATGGACAGGAGAGAGTAGAGGTGATTATGGCATCCATAGGAGGTGCTGTCATCTATGCATATCTCTGCATGTTATCCTTTGCTTATAACTCCCACTCT